CTCGTCATATTTATTGATGAGATAACTATAAAATGTGTAAGTACACTATATGTACGTTTTAAATTTCTAAAAATACGCCTATTTATTAGAGCAGTGATATCTAAAAATGTGTAATTACAAAAATATGGAAAAGAGACGATTCTACTTAAATATACTTTACGATAAACATTTATAATTCAGTCTTTAATACTGCATGCATGTAAGCTGATTTAATACTTTAATGAAAAAATGCTATTAGCATTTTATGATGAATGTTTCTTGTAGCAGAATGTGAGACTTAAATGGAATATAGTCCTGTTCCGAACTAACCTTAGAAATATTCCAAGAAAACCAACCGTAGTATATGTATTTTTTACGTGTTCATATATAAGTATTTGTGAAAACTGTTATACTTCCTCTATACTTACCGAACGTTTTACTTGGTGGGTGATTCAAATATCTCGGTTGAAGTGTAGTATACAGATAGCGAAGTATTTTCAACAGTCAACGGTATTGTGGCAATGGCTATATACATAAAGCCACCAAACTATTGAGTAGATCAACAACTAAAATTCAGGAAGAGGATCAATAACAGAAGTTTATATCTGACATTATATTTAGGAAACCAACTCAGCTGTAACGTTTAGAGTAAAACTTTAAATCTCTCCTCCTCTCTCTACGTGTGTGTGTGTAATGGATTATATTAAAGATACAAAAACTTGAGTAGACATTGCGTATGTTGTCCTCTTATATACAATCTAAATTCTGAAATTATGTGATGGTCCCTGCCTAATGAACTAATAATATGTTCACGCACACACACATATATTCATTTATTAGTCCACAACAATGTACACATATATATAACATATATTTATATGTGTGTGTGTGTATATGGGGACCATCCCATAATTCCCGAGACCAGATTTTTTGTGGTTATATACGAAACATCTTGTCCTTTCTTATTTTCTCTCAAATGCGATTGAAATTTGCATTAACAATTCATTTATGACAAACAAACTGCTGAACTTTAAGATAAGCTAAAGTAGGGTCATTCACGCTACAAAATCGTTTCAATCTTTTTACAGTTATTAATCAAAATGTGATTTTTCCCCCAGTCGTCATTACACTTATAGACTTTCATTCCAAGGAAACCGTGGCACAAGAAAACCAAAACTAAAACTTTTACATTAATCTATTGCCAATCTTGCAAATATTTAATGATGGTCTTGCTAAAAAAATTAAAATTATTTAACATAAATGTCTGTTTAATATTTATTATCCCGAATCTCATTTTGTCAAGTGCTACTGAAAGATTCTATGATATTAATGTTCAATAATTTCTCTTAAAACATACCCAAACAATTAGAAATATTTTTCTTCTTATAGTTTCAATACCACATCGCTGTTTCTTGCTAATCCAATTCATCAGTAACATTACAAGATTGACAAAATTTTAGTTAACATTGATGCTATCATATATAAAAGTTTGGTGTGGGAAAACTTACTTCTTAGTACCTTCTGAAAGGTTATGTTATAGAAAACCCGTATTAGAGATGACAACTTCTGAAGGTTACGTTAGAGCAGGATTTCTCAACTCGTGAGTCTTGGCCCAACATTGGGTCATTAGAATGTGTGAACATACTTTAAAAATAGGTAATACGTTTATGCAATTTATTAATGTTTTATTTATGTATTTAGTAAGCCAGATGGTTTTTGACCAAAAATTGGCCATCAATGTTTACAAATGGGTCCTGAGTAAAAAAAAAGGTCGAGAACCACAGCAGGAAGGGAAACAAAAATGCATTAGAGATTGGCCCCGCATAGCCAGGTGGTTAGGGTGCTCGACTGGCAATCTGTTTGTCGCATTGGGTTCGAATCCCCGTCACACCAAACATGCTCGTCCTTTCAGTCGTGGGGGCGTTATAATGTGACGGTCAATCCCACTATTCGTTGGTAAAAGAGTAGCCCAAGAGTTGGTGGTGATGACTAGCTGCCTCCCCTCTAGTCTTACACTGCTAAATTAGGGACGGCTAGCGAGTAGCCTTGCGAGAAATTCAAAACAAACAATTCTGTAAGACAAAAATACATGGAGCTTTACAGAGTTTGAATTTTTAAGTTATGAAATTCCACGTGCTTCTTTGCACGAGTACGGTATTTATATTTTGATGCCGAAACGACTAAGCATATATAAATTGGCTTTGTTATACATTTCATTGTAAAAATACTCGCCAAAATGAAGTTATTTTTTCAATTACTCATCTAGTCCTGATTCTCACAATACATTCCGTACGATAGTAGTTAATCCATCTATTAAGTTATTTTTTCATGTTTTAATTTAAGTTACTGCCTAATTGAAATATTTTCTAAATTTCAAAAATATATGATGCAGAAGGTTTCAAAAACTGATTTCAAATTTACCATTAAAATTACTATAAAAGATTTCCGAATGGTATTGAAACAACAATTTATTTTATTATCTATATTAACTAATAATTCATTCTTTACGTACCACGATAGTTAGATTCAACAAGGACATTAAACATTATTATAAACAAACTTGATGAAAAAAACTAAATATAATCTTAATGAGATTTATTAAACACATGAAGTATCATTATAGCTAAGTTTATATTCTTTTTCAGTTTACATATATGTCAAATAATGTATGTTAGTTCCCCATCCTTAGGTATACTCATTTTTATAAAATGTAAGAAGCAGACGATAATTCTTCATAGCCCACCCCCCAACCCCAATGGCTCAGTACTACGTCTGAAGGCTTATAACGATGTCGATACCCGTGCTGAACACAGTACAGATAGTCCATTGTGTAGCTTTGTTCTTAACTACAAATAAACGAACAAACTTCGTCATAAGGGATAATTCAGTAACCCTATTTTCACATAACGAACGCTTGTTCCTTGAAACTAACTCTTATAATGAAATGTATCAGAACTGGGAGATAGCAAGTCACTGACTAGAATTCATTGTAGTGATACGGGCTTATCTTGCAAGATATAATGGTTCATCATGTTGGGGATTTGCTGAGTTTAGATAAGAAAAAAAGTATCTGCTGTAAATTTTTCAGCCTGTAGTGGAAGATGCACTGTCTTGGTGTCACAGAAAATGGGGTCAATCCTGATGTATGCTAAAATTACTTGAGTAACCGTGAGAGTAACTGGTTTCTTTATTTTTGCAGTTTTCAAGATATTATTTATTTGAATATTTCGAATTATTTTTTTATTAAATAAACTAGTTCATAATATGGATATGTAGTTCACTTTTGTCTTGCAAACTTTATTGGCCATACGTTCTAGAAAAACCTCTTTCATTCGCGTTGAACACAATCAAAGTATTCATCTGACATTACTGTCATTTCGCCATCTTAGAAATGTAGTAATATTTTTCTACAGAACTGTTCCAATAGCCCAACAGCAAGCCGGATAGAGTGTCCCGTTCCCATGTGCAAATAGCTCCGAAAGACAAACAACTTAACCTTAAACTGTATCTCGTTTCTTAAGTTTTCAGGATGTTAGAGTGATCCAGTGACAAAGAGCACCATTTTCGCAGGAAAAATTGTTAAAGTTTAGCGTAAAACGGGACCTTTTGGGGAACTTTTAGTACATGTAAGACTGAGCCTCTTACGAAAGATAAAAAAATAACATAAATAACTGGTACCAGATATGGAGTTTGAGCCTGAAAATATTTCTGAATATACCACAGTTGAGCTTAGGTCCGTTGCAAGGACCTCCAAAAATATGCTTCCATTTCTTCTGAAAAGACTGAAAGCTGTTTTCGGTTGAGGGCGCTTATGTTCGTTGCATCATTTAAACATTGGTTTTTTCATCTGATGCACTGCTTAATCCTTGTTGTCTCTGAATCAAGACCATCGCTGAATTTCTCCTCCATCTGACTATCTGAACATGAATTTTAAATAATAATATCAACTAAAATCTTGTTCACTCCACTTGACAAATGTTCAGTGCTGACATATAACCTAACTTCTTCATGCCGGCATTAAACACAGACTTTCATGTCACGTGATTAAAACTTTCAATTTAAATAATATGGAATTAAGAAAAGTTGTGTGAGCTGAGTTTTATTATATACATATTTAGTTTTCTTTATGATGTAAGATTAGAAGAAGCTCGAACACGTCTTTTCTTAAGGCGCTATTATATGCTGGGGTATGGTACTCTCATTAAATATAGTTTTCCTTTAAAGCAAAGACAATTTTTTTCGTGTAAATGCAAGTTTATGTCGATGTTATTATGTGCATAAATATATAACCTCAGTATCTCATTAAAAGTGTTTTCTTTGATGACTACTCTTTAAAAATGATTAATATAATATGAAGTGC